CGGGATGGGGGTGTCAGAGGCAGTGCGATTGGCACAGGATAGAGCAGGGTTTAGGGCTGTTGTACACAGGGTCGCTATGAGTCACAAACGACTCGACGGCACATAACAACAACAACATGCTGAGCAATGAAAATTCAAACTGTCCAATGATCACATCCCTAGTTGTGGTCAGACAAGGCAATGTTTGGCCTTCTTGTTAAAACTCTCTACCACATCCTTCACATCACCTATTTATTGCTACATTTTTATGGTTTTTATTTGGGCATATTGCAAGGAGGTCCTTAGAGAGGGACATCATGTTTGGCAGAGTGGAGGGCCGGCAAAGGAGAGGAAGACCTGTGATGAGATGGATCGATTCTGTGACTGGAGAGGTGGGAGTAAGTGCGTTTGAGATGGTTAGGTTGGCACAGGCTAGAAGAGCGTATAGAGCTCTTGTACATAGGGTCGCTATGAGTCACAAGCGACTCGATGGCACATAACAACAACATTGGATCTTGAATGTGTGCTAAAGCAGTGTCTAGTGTTTCTAAGTGTAAGAAGGTTATGATGTGCTTTATGAGCTCAATATGTGTGTTAGACACAAAAGGGAGTTCTGAACTAGAGTTATAGTGCTGTTGGCTGTGCGTTCAATGTTAATGAAACAGACACATAACAAAGGTATGCACTGACTGGCTGATAAAAACTTGACAAGAGGCTTATGGGAACCTAACCCTGAACTCCCTCTAGGAGCTATGTTTCAGGGTTCCCTAATTTAGTATCTGCAGTGATTTTACAGAACATGTTGTTGTTGTTCTGTGCCGTTGAGTTGCCTGCAACTCATAGCGACCCTATGTACAACAGCCTAAACTCTGCTCTGTCTTGTGCCAATCGCACTGCCTCTGACACTTCCATCCGATTACCCCAGTCACTAAATCAATCCACCTGAAAGAGGGCCTTCCCCTCCTGCGCTGTCCCTCCACCCTACCAAGCATGACGTCCTTCTCCAAGGATGTTAGACGGAGCCTCAGAATCCTTGCCTCCAAAGAGCCACCTGGTTTAACCCTTTCCAGGATGAATCTGTTTGTTTTCCTAGCAGTCCATGGTACTCTCAATACTCTTTTCCAGCACCACAGCTCAAAGGCATCTATTCTCCTTCTGTCCTCCTTGGTCATTGTCCAACTCTATGATGCATAACAAGTGATTGCAAAGACCATGGCCTGTATCAGACGCACCTTAGTCTCCAGAGTGACACCATTGCTCTTCAGTACTTCGGATAGGTCCCTAACAGCAGACTTTCCCATGGCAATGCGCCTTTTAATTTCCTGGCTACTGGTGCCAAGAGTGTTGACTGTGGAGCTAAGCAAATTAAAGCTGTTAACAATCTCAATCTCTTCACCATCCATCCTGATGCTGCCAATTGGCCCAGTGGTGAGAATCTTTGTCTTCTTGACATTGAGCCTCAATCCATATTGGAGGCTACAGTCCTTGACCCTCTGCAGCAAGTGCATGAGGTCCTCCTCAGTTTCAGCAAGCAGGGTTGTGTCATCTGCATAACGCAGACTGTTGTCCACCAATCTTGACCCCACATATCTCCTCATAGAGCCCAGCCTCTCGGATGATCTGTTCTGCATACAGGTTGAAAAGGCATGGAGATAGGACGCATCCCTGGCATAACCACTGCAAATACTGAAAACTGGTTACACTCTATTTTGATGACTGCAGAATGAAAATAATATTTTTAACATGCAAGACAAATATATCAGATAATTTATGGTATCTCAAAACTTATTACAGAACACTTTTTTAAAAAAAAATGTGTTACTATATACTCAGAGTAGAGTGATTAATGTGGTCTCAAACCTCTAAAAACCTCTTGCAACAATGAATGGAAATCCAAAATCTCTGTAAATGTTAAAATTAATCAAGTTTAGGGGAGCTCTGGTGGCCTAGTGGCAAGAAGCTGCACTGCAATCCCAGAGGTGCACGGTTCAAATCCACCAGATGCTCTGCCAGGGAAGGAGGGACAATCCCCTCCTGTACCAGTCAGATCTGATTTGACGGTACACTCAAATAATAATTTAAAAAAAGTTAAAAAATTAATTAATAAAGTTTAATAAAAACTTAAAAAAATAAAAAGATCTACACTTGTTTTCTACTTTGTCTGAAGTAGAGAACCATGGTTTGAAAGGATTAAAAATGAGACACAAGCCTGGCTTACAGTCAAATATTTGACTGGAAACTCTGATTTGCACTTATGTTATGTACTGTTAAGCTGAAAATAACTCAGAGCTGACCCTCCAGCAGGTTTTCAGAGGTTTTAAAGTGCATGAGATGGAAAATGCTGGTGGACATGAACCATGCCTTTGTGTTGG